TCCCTCCACTCCACTCCACTCCATCCATCCATCCACTCCAACCTCCCTCCCTTCCCTCCCTCCCTTCCCTCCCTCCCTTTCCCTCCCTTCCCTCCACTCCCTCCTCCTCTTCTTGCTCCTCCTCCCCGCTCCTCCTTCTCAAGGGTCGATCAGGAACAAGTTTCTCCGTCGACGCGCCTTCTCTTTCCTCTCGACCGACTGCAACACGACGCACAGCAGGGAGCAGGTGGACTTGAGCTGGGAAGAACTGTCAAGATTGATTTTTGCCGTCAGTCTCCTCAGAGAGAGTGTAAAGCTGAGATCCAACTCGGGGGTTACGACCCGGCGGCAGTCAACGGCAAGGTGAAGAGGATGAGCTGGAGAGCAGGAACAGGAGCAGGAGCAGGAGCAGGAAGGAGGAGCAGGAGCAGCAGGAGGAGCAGGAGGAGCAGGAGCAGGAGGAGGAGGAGGAGGAGGAAGGGGTTGACTTTTGGTCCGTAGATGTTCCTCACACCCTCGATTACGATCAACGATTATGTCGTCGTTGCGCTCTCGCTCAAGTGAGATGAAAATGATGATGATGATGATGATGATGATGATGATGATGATGATGACTACAATGATAGTAATGTTGATAACGATAGTGTTGTAATGTTGACGATGATGGCATGTAATCATCGACCACATGGCTGGTTGATGTGGTTATGTTCAGGTTCGGGGACGTTGAGCTCTTGGAGTTCACTCCGAAGAATCCCGTAAGAGGAAGGAAATTTTGTTTTTCGTCGCTCACTTCACATCCCCAGCGTCTTCGCTACCTCCCTGCCATCATGGACAGCGGGACCAGGTGAAGGCCTATGTTTGTTCTTGTCATCAACATTGCAACAAGTTCTTTTCCCATCCCACCATCATAACCCATCCCACCGTCATCTTCTCCTCCTCCCTTCCTCCCTCTCAAACCCTCCTCCTGACGTCTCCCTCCCCCCCCATCAGCTGCCTTGTCATGCCGGACAACACCATGAACGGGCTGTTCAAGGAGTCCCCGTACGCCAAGGTAAGGAGCAGATCTTTCAGTGCCCTGCCTCCCTTGACTCGCCCCGGCACCAGTGGAAGGGCCTCGTCAAGAACACCCACAAGCCTGCCGTCAAGGAAAGTTTCTACCTCAACATCGCAGGTGCTGCAGCGACGGCCATCAGCTCTCACCACCTCCTCCTCCCTTGCAACCTGACGCGGCAACCCAGGCGCCACGTTTGAGATCCCCTACGACGATTGGTGGCTGTCCCTCTCCAACCAATCCTGCGTCCAGAAGGTCCTACCTACCTACCTACCTGCCTGCCTATCCTCCTCACCCTCCTCCTCCTCCTCCTCCTTGTCGTACCTCTTTGTCTCCTTCTCCTTCCTGTCTTCTTCTTCTCTTTCCTCCTACCCTCCTCGTCTACCTAACTCCGTCTTGTCCTCTCTTCGTCTTCTCGGCTTTGTCCTCGCTTGTCTCCTCTGCTCGTGCTCACTCTCTTTCTCAGGCTCCTCCTGGCTTCGGAGGTCTTCTTATCGGCGACGTTCTCTTTCGCCGTTTTGTGGTACTGTTCGACCTCAGGTGAGGAGGAGCAGGGAGGAGGAGGGCTGCCCAGGGAAAGGGGAAGGGAAGGGGAAAGGAGTTGTGAAGTTAAGATGAGAGGGGAAATCAGGAATAGGGGGAGGGAAGGCAACAATGAAGTGGAGTGGCAGAGGGTTACAGGAATTCGAGGAAGAGGAAAGGGAGGAGGAGGAGGAGGAGGAGGAGGAGGAAGTAAGTATGTTCCGTCTACCAGGCACTATCCCGAGACAGTAGTCATCGGCATCGGCAAGCAGAACAAGAACTACATCCCAGCTCAGCGCCATGCGACTATCTCCAAGGTCTTATCAACATGCTCCGTTTCTTGGAATCCAAACTCTCTTGTTCCTCTCGTTCCCCTTCCCTCCTTTGCTACCTACCTCCTCTCTTCCTCCTCCTCCTCCTCCTTCTTACTCTCTGCGTCTTGGTCTCTACTCGTCCTCCTCT